AGTTAAAAAAACTCACGAAATATTTAAATAAGCCTTACCAAGCATTCTCATAAAGGTACTTTCCCACTCATTGGATATTACTCAAAACTTGAAAGTAGCTTGCGTAAAGTTCTATTACGATCACGTAGAAAGAAGCTAACTCTCGTCTCCACCCTGGACGGACAACTGTATGTTATACTTTCTTTTAAAAATTAACCATCTTGCTCGAGCAGCTTTCCATAAGATGATCACCATCCGTACAGTTTGCGAAAGAATGCACAAGATGAGGAGAGTAACGGAAACAAGAGGTATAACACCCAGTAATACTGCCTCTGACATCAAAAGAATGGAGAAATACCGTTGATTGATACCGCTGACGTCACTTCCTGCCGATGCAAGGCCCACGTTTAGTGCTCCTATAACGACCAAGGCTGCCAAGGAGACGATTTCGGTGACGTTGACCCAAGAGTGGGCAAAGGGCTTCTGGGATATGTGATGCAACAAGTAAAAGAGGCAAAGGATTGTCAGACACTCAGAACGCATAAGCGCATGTTCCAACTGCCACCAACCAATCACAATTAGGAGGAATCGGCGACCAATTAGAATGCTCTCCCAGTAGATTCTTCCGTTTGATTGGTTATCTTGTGGCTTTGTAAATGGACCGCAAAGAACCTCAAGAAGTGACGCTTTGATACTTGTGGAAGAATTTGTGTCATGTTCTTCGTCGTGAAAAGAGCCGGCAGTTGAAGGGATTTCTTGATAGTCCGCTCTCTTGGTAATTTTTTTCTTTACGTAGTGATACAAAACAAAGAGGAAATAAGGAAAAGGAAGGATGCTGGCCAGCAGAAATATCTTTCCTGAAATCTTGCCACGATAGAGTTTCACCGAAATGAAATACAACGTGAATATAAACGGAAACAAGTTCAGGACAATGACGGCAATAGCAGCTTGCTGCCACCATTGGTGCTTGCAAACGTACTGGGCATCGTAATACCAGCGGGACACTTCTTGAATGCTTACACAGTGGAGTAATCGCACTATTGTGCCAGTTACTGCTGAGTAACCTAATAACACTGTTTCCAGGACAGCTCCAAGGTAAGGACCAGCTGGCGGAAAAGTTGGCCTGCGCTTGCATAATTTGTTTAGACCGCTGTGCAGAAGGTAAAGAACTGGAATCCAGAAGAAAATGGTCATCACTGTCACCAAGTGGAACAATGTTTTTAAAAGTGGTGTGAAAATCGGCCAAGGACAAATCTTCCAGTTAGTATTGGCATATAGTTTAAAGTTCAAAAGATTGGTAAGGGGCAAGACAATCTCATTTCTCAATAGATTTTTCACCCCATATGAGGGAACGGCCAAAACTCCAGCCACTTGATAAAAGTAAAAGATAACTTTTAAAAAGCCATAATTTGGAGAAACACTTTTTCTGAACGAGCTGT